ATGGCGCTGCGGTGCTGCTGTCTGCGCGCTCGGCCCCAGGGCTGGCCGCGGCGTGGCGCTCCGGCCGTGAGCTGCGGGGGTGTGCGAACGGACGCGGCGCTGCGTGTTAATGCCGTGCAGGTGACTTTTCTTTTTGTTGCGTGAGTGGCAGCAGTGCTTGTCCAAACTCTCTTCTCCTCCGTGTAGGTTTGTGAAAAACCTGGATTTCCAAAATGAATAAAGATGCCCAGATGAGAGCAACCATTAACCAAAAGCTAATAGAAACAGGAGAGCGAGAACGGTAAGTAGGCTTCCTACCCCCTGCAGTAAGACGCTTAAAGTATTACCAAACGTGAACTATATCTACAAGTTAAGTAAACATAACTCTAACTTCTTCAAATCCCTGCATGCGAGAGTCTTATGTATTATATAAAGCTATAATTAAAAAAAAAAAAACCAAACATGTTTTTGCCTTTTGAACAGTTTAGTTTTACACTTCAAAAGAGAAGCTGGGAAAATAACAGATGAGGTGGTTGGCTTGTGAACTCTAAAGCTTTCTCTTATTCTGGTACTTTGTGTTGGAAAGCTCTTGGTTCATGTGGAAATTGCCATGAAATTCAATTTGTTGCAAGTAAATCCTGTTATTTCCTAATAAAGAGAATGAGAGAAAACTTTCCTTTTTAGCTTTGAAACTTAAAAGTTTTTCTTGTGTTCCTATCTCTTCTCCTGTTAGGGAAAGAAATATACCGTGGAACGCATAAAACGGCACTTGTGCAAGTCACTGTAGAGATTCCAATAAAGACAAACAAGTAAATTACGCAATGTAGCGTGGCAGCTGGTTTTTGGCTTTTATTGCCTCTTCAGTCTGTTTGCATTGCATTTGCATATCACTAGTGTGCTTACGACATTTACCTCCTCGTCACTTCACAATATTTATAACACCACGCACCAAAAGCTCTATTTTCTTCATTCTTTCTCATAGAGGCCTTGAAAAGTCTTCTTCCTGGGTCACCGCATAGCCCTGTACCTAGTGTAACCTTTTGTAGGCTGATGTGGTGTCTGTGCTCTGCCTCTTTCCTGGTTATCACCATCCCCTTGGAGATTGCACAGAGTTTCAGCAGAGCAAGCAATTTCTCAAAATGGTATTGGAACCTCTTTTATTTAAGAGTAAGAGTTTTGGCAGGATGTCAAAAGCTGTATTACAAACAAGCTTTGTCAGAACTGTACTGTGATCAGAGACAGAGCACTCATTTTTTGAATTAAGAAATATCCAGAAGCAGTGAATTTCACAAGTATTGTTACTCTGCTTTTTGTCATCAGTTCATCAGCCCTCTACAATTCATTGAGTAAAAGGGATTAGACCTACACAGTTCAGCCTCTTGCTGCAACCCTTTCATTCAGAAAACCAGAGTTATTTAGGATGGTACAAGATAAGTAGGCTTGCTAGCTGATGGAATAAAGGATAAAGATATTAAAACTTATTTTATCATATCTTACTTTCATTTTTCCGTTTCATTCTTCTGTTTTTCGGTACTAATTTTTGCATTTTTTGCTAGCTTTCAGTATTCTCTTTTGATATATAGAGTAGGTGTATCATTGTGGCAGGTAGTTGCATGTCTTCTCTATTTAATGCCTGAATTCTTGTTGCTTATACTTAAAATTGCTAACCATGCTTAGGAAGATAAGATACACAATCCCTTCATCTTCACCCAGCACAAGGTGAAGTGTAGCTGTGGAAAGAAACCTGCAGTTGCAGACAGTAGTACAGAATTCTCCTTTCAGAAAGGAGGTGGGGAAGGCTTTGTTTATTTTGAAGGCCTGGTTTCAGGTGAAATATTCCAACTTTGAAAGTTAGCATACGTTTGGTAACTGAGTAGACTTGGGCAGTTCAAGTGATTCAGAGGCTTTTAGGTAGCGCTTTTCTGTGGCTGCAGCATCAACTGAAGAAATACTGTGAATTAGCTCCTGAGCTGCCAGCTCCTTGTAGTCCAACGTGGTAAACTGAAATTGGTACTCATTCGGGTTAGGAGTCACATCCCGTTCAGCCATTTCTGCTGCTGGTCTGGGAGTTCTGCTGTGAGTAGTAACTGTAGGCGTAACTTTCACACTGAAGCTTATTTAAGCTGTCAGGAACATTTGCTGTCCCTAACAAGTTTGTATATTGTCTTAACAGCCTTAAAGAGTTGCTGAGAGCCAAGTTAATTGAGTGCGGCTGGAAGGATCAGTTGAAGGCACATTGCAAAGGTAACGGTGGTCAAATAACTAATACCCTCTGTAATCAACTGAGGTTCTGGCGAAAAAAAAAATAAAAGTCCCAGATGAAGGCTTTACTGTCTAACAGTCAACTTAAATTGGAATTGGGCAAGAGGGGAGTATCCCTGGCCATCGGTTTTGCCTGTAAGAAAGCATCTTGCTGCATTGGCAAAAGTATCTTGAAACTGCATCTTTGATCTGAACCTTATTAAGCTTCTGAGAAAAGTATTAGAATTGATTCCTTAAATAAATCATGATGATACAGGGTTTTGTTTTGAGAGAAATTACTTCCTTACCACAAGATAATAAAAGCCAGGTTAAAGGAAATACCAAATACAGTGGTATGCAACTTAGAAACTTAGGAGAACTTCATTGCCCACGTATGGGAGAGAAAGAAGTTCATCTGTACTCTTTCTGAATACCGTTCTTGAAAATAAGATCATCTGCTTAGATGAGAGAAAACAAGCAGATGAACCTTTAAATACCCAAATCTTTAGTTTTAAGTTACTTAGCATTACTGCCATCTACTGACTTGTAAATGGTTTGAAAATATCATAAATAGTGTTTAAGCATCCAGGAATATTACTGCATGATGAAATTCCCTTAAAGCAAGTAGCAAATCCCTTGAGGTTTCGCTTTAATTCTGATTTGGTGTGTTGTGCCCAGCAACTCAATTTCATTACAAAGTTTTCTTTTTGTAGGGCTGAGTGTGTTAAATTGTTTTAGTAGGTGGATTTGCAGAGAAGGCTGAAATGGTTCGTGCTGGCAGTTGCCTGCCTGATGCCACTGCCAGAGATTACCCATTTCAATAGTACAGACAGCGACAGGGATGTTTATTTGCCTTCTCAGCTGTACACTTTATACTGTGCTATAGCAAAGTTAAGTAAAATGATTTGGTTTACATTAGTACTTCAAACTGTAACTACAGCTGATGAGAATGCAAGTTTCAGTTAATTTGTCCCTGCAAGGGCCTAATAACCTCCAAAATAAAGGACAGAGGAGATTTGGGG